ACACACAATAACTAAGTCAAAATCTATCAACCTACATGAAAACACAATGGCTACTTAAAACAAAAATACCAAGCATGATATGCAAATGACATATAAATAAATCATATTGAATCGGGTGACCAAAATGGAATAAAAGCTTAAGTTTAGTGATGATTTTGAAAAAAATAGTTATGTGACCAAAATAGAGTTGTAAGAATAATGTAGTGATTGAATATGTAATTTACCCTTATATTTTTTTAATGGAGTTAACGATTTAGGACACATAGTAACTATTTAAAATTTAAGATGATAAAATATATCAAAAAATACTTTAGAAGACAACTCGATATAAATTGTATACTTTAGAGGATAATGGTATATTTAAGCCAATTATTTATTTCATTATTATATAATCAAACATTAAGAATTAAGAGATTTAAAGGTACGCCATCTTTAATTAATTATGAGTGGATAAATTTATGTTAGCCTATTCAATGGTATATATCTCATTCGTGTCATTTCTTTTCTTTTTCATCTTTGTTGATCGGCGACGACACTAACTTTAATTTTGATTACCGATCGTCGATATTCATTATTTTATTTTTCTTTTCTATATCGTATTTTTATTTTCTTTTGTTTTTTTTATTTTCAATAAGTTGTCTGTTGTACGTTTTTATATGCTTTTATGGCACGTTTTCTTATATTGTTTTTTGCTTTTTTCGGTTCTTTGCTCGTTTTTATATATCTTTTTTCTAATAGTTGATTTGTCATCGTCACGATTGATAAATATAACTCTTATATGATATCTTGTGATCTTTCCTGCTTTGGACCATTGAATTGGATTTGAATACTCGATCTGTGTTCGTAGATAGCTTTTCAAGTCTCTCGAGTCTGATTTACGGTTTGTTTGATGATCTTTCAATAGTTTGATCCCTTTTGTGGTTCATTTGTCGATGCGATCAGATCTGTTTATATCTATCTTTGTTCGAAATTTTTGATTAGATTTAATCTTTCTTTGTATGGTCTTTGTGCGATCTTAAGTTACTAGTTTTGTTTCAATGATTATAGGAAAATTTTCTAATTGTGTGCTTAATTTACGATTGTGATTGTAAATTTTTATTGTAATTTGAGATATTTTCTATTTTGAATTAAATTATTTGATTCTATAGAAAAATAATGGTGAAATGAAGATGCTGCGCACGAACAGATTCTTCAAATTCTGTCAATAGAATCATTTTCCATCTTAACAATTTTGCTCGAAGAAATCTCAACTTGTGTAAGAAAAGAATAATTTTGTTATGTCAAATTCTTTTATCAGTCCATGTAGTGGACAAAAGTGATAGATTTATTTTATATGTTTTAATTTTAATTTTTTTAAAAAAGATAAAATTTTAATCCTAATCGAAACAATAGTTAAATCTATTAAGTTAATTTAAAATTAGGTTTAAACATACAAAAGGTGTCAAAGTATGCCCATTTTTTCAGTTTAGTACCTAACATTTTTTCTTTCTATTTTGATGCCTAACGTTTCATTCCGTTACTCAAAATGGGTCACGCCGTAACGGAATGTTAGTTTTCTCTATTAAGTGACACATGTCATAATACGGTGATTTTAAAAATTTTATTTAAAATTAATATATATATATATATATATATATTTAAAAAAGATAATTTTTGAAATAACCCCAAAACTTTGAAAACCTTCATTTCAACCCCTATTCCCTAAACCATTTGGTCGCCCATCTTCCAAGCTCATCCGCTCGGTGACGGTGGCTTACCAAACCGGTTGGATTTTGGTCAGACAGGACCGACGAGCCCAACTTTGGTGGCGATGAGACAGAAAGGCGACGGTTTCAAACGGAAATCGCAAAAATCAAACGGCGATGGTGGCTTTTCGTGTACTTTCAAACGCCTCTCCACCACGAACGGTGGCGGCTGGAGGCGAGTGGATGATTGGGCTATGATCGGCCTGGGACGACGCTTCCACTGGGTTAGGCGGTAATGACTCTCGACGAGCAGTGTCCGAGGTTGGAGGTGGGCGACCGAATGGTTTTCTTGAGATTAAGCTCGACGGTGACTGATTTCGGGTGATCTCAGGGTCGGGTTGAGGTTGCCAGTTGCTGCTGAGTTTGGTGGGAGCGGCGGTGTACACCACCGACAGTCGGAGAAGGGTGGTTTAGTGACGGAAAGTTTTCAAAGTTTTTGAGTTATTTCAAAATTTTTGTGTTTTCTTTTTTTAAAAATATATAGTTTTATTTTTTAAATTTTAAATAAAAATTTTAAAATTACCAGATTGTGACACGTGTCACTTAATGGAGAAAACTAACGGTCTGTCACGACGTGACCCATTTTGAGTAACGGAATGAAACGTTAACCACCAAACTAGAACGAAAAAAACGTTAGACACTAAACTGGAAAAATGGGCATATGTTAGACACCATTTGTATATTTAAGCCTTAAAATTACGTGTTTTATAATAATTGTTATTATCTTTTCTCTTATTTTTTAACACTATTGAATAATAAATCTTTTAATTTTTATGCTTTTTAATAAACATATTAATAAAAAGATTTTTTTTCTACTACTTCAATTTTCTTTCTACCTTTCTTACTTTTTTATTGTTTGTATTAGAATTAAAATTTACAAAAGTTATATGCACGGCGGATGATATAGGTATTAAAATTTACTCCAATTAGGAATTTTGGATATTGGCCCATCTGGTGCCCGTTGGAGAGGTCCTTTAATTGTTTTTTTTTTTTTTTGCCTAATAGGGCAAATGGGTAAATTGCTTAGAAAAATAGGGCAGGTAGAAGTTTATTTTGAGATCTACGGTAATTTATCAAATCAAGATAAAAAGTTTGAATAAAAAATATTTTTATTATAACTCATCATCTCGACGTGAGGAATTCCATGTCACTGTAGAAAATGACGTAGATCCCAAAATAAACTGACTTGTCCTATTGGGCTAAATAAAAAAACCCGTAGACCGTACTAGACCAATTTTGCCCCTTTTATTCCCCATTATTCTTTTACTTTTTTTTATTACAATTATATCTAACTATTCATACCCAATATTCAACAATTAATATTTATTTATTATTAAATATACTAAAAGTTTAATATTTAATTTTCTCATAATATATGTAGTTATATTGTATACACATTTTAAATAATTAATATAATCAAAATCAAAACATCCGGTAAATATAACTAAAATTTATATGACAATATATAATCAGATGAAAATTGAATTTATGCATAACCACACTGGAAAATCGATCAACATAAACCCGGCTTGAACCAGAAAAAAATTAAATAGGAATCGTTCAAAAAAAAAAGTTAAGAATTCATACTTGTAAATTCAAATATGGAAGGACTCGAACTTTAAACACAAATGTTGTTGGAAACGGGCTAGGAATATGTAGCCTTTTCAACTCAAACCCATTATTGTTGAACCAAGGCCTGATTAGTTTAATCACTCTCTTTATTTGTATTTTTTTAGACGATTATTTATTATATTCCCAATGAAAAAAGTTTTTCACGAAAGACAAATAATTTTATCGTAAATTTAGTAATTAAAAATAAAAAATATCTTTTTTTATTATTTTATTCATCGATAATTTCTATTATTGAGATCACTTGATAGATTCATCTCATCGATAATTTATTTAATCACACTACTACTACAATAAATAATATTATTTTTAAATACCCTAAATCTAATGACGAAACTACCGCTTGAAGTGAAAAAACGATTATGAGAGATAAATAAATCAACTCGCAAATCCATAACTAAGTTTATTTAAAATGGATGGAATAAACTTAAAAGTGTTCTTATAAAAGTGAGACGATCTTTATTTTTTACTAGCACAAATTTAAACACAATGATTAAGAAACCAGTAATTTAATAATAATGAAGTGTGGGAACTTTGTAGATTGGCAAGGAAACCATGGCAGCTGCTTCATTTGGCCCACAGATTTGTAGAGGCATGCATGTATGTTCCAGTTGTGGATGCACTAAGCCACTATATGGACTATGTATATCCCATTATTTTGGAAAAGTGGTTAAATTTAGTTTAATATGTTAAGCAAAAAAATTAAAATTTTGCATACTCATTATTTTTAAAAAAATAAAATTAAAATTTTGAATCTCTATTTATAAATTTATGAATCCACCACTGATATGTTATACGTTATTATGGGACTGGATCTACTATTCTTAGTCATTGGGTAGTTCGCCAAAAGCTCTTTAAGGACCCTTCCCGTTTCCCTTTACCTTTATGGGGCTCTATATTACGATTCTTAGTAGAAGTAAGCTCTATTGCAACATTCATTTTCATTCTTTTCAGTTTTAATACAATGTTTTTGTTTTATTTTTAGATAGAATTGTTTTTTTCTTCTTCTTACTGTGAAAGTGGGATTTACCAGATTATTAAGAAACTAGTTTTGGGTTTTTACCCTTTCTTTTTAAGATTCAATCTTTTTCTCCTCTTGGATCTGGATAGGCTCCTCCTCATCTAGAATATTGAGATTTCAGCTTTAATTGTTCATTAAATTATTGATAATATGTTTTAATATAATTCCATGAGTTTATACCCTGTTATTGCAATGCTTATAGCTACAACACAATTGATGAAAAGATTATTTTGAAATTTGGTAAGTTTTCATTCCATGTTTACGTGTGTTGGAAGTTGATAATGAAGATAGATTCATGGATATGAAAGCAAATTCAAAGTAATCCCAGTACAGTGAATGTAATGGTGGACATTGTCAAGAACCATGCAAGTCTCCGACATGCATCCACCGATGAGTAACTAAGACAATAACGAATCAATTAAATTGGTGACTTATATAATTCTTGACAAATGACAATGTAATATGTACCGTATCTCAAACAATGTTTGAAAATTTTGGTAAAAGGGCATAATTTAAAATTTCGATGGCAATAAATATATAGAAAATTGAGGCATTAATTGGTTGATCAAAAGAAACATAACGATTTATCCACTTTCCAGTCAAAATTGACCCAACAACTTTTTCGACCATAATATGAAAGAAAGAAGAAACGGTAAAAAAAAAAAAAAACCAAGACTATGTAACCTTATCATCTTGTGCTTGGCAAAATAATCTTCTAATTTTGATCATTTGCCCTAACACCACCTTTTACCTTTTGTGTTATAAATAATAAAAAATATAACATTCGAAAATATATTTAAAAAAAAGAAATAATTATATTAATGTTGTTAATATTGATGTTTTTGTTAGTGTGTTTTCAATCATGCATGGAGAGAGGGGGGATGGAATTGTCCTGGGAGGCACACAGTGAGAAGATCTCTTCTAATGATCCGTTCATGTAGTCCTTGTACTTGTCATACATCATGTAATCATCGATGATCTCTGACTTGGACGCCTTCGTCTCCAATATAATGTTTATCTGCGGGAAATCTTCGAGATCCAACGGAGGATATGGAGCTTGATAATGAACATTTGTGTAGCCCGGAATCTGCATTTCCTACAATGTTCATAAACACACATGTGAATCAGATGAGCTTAATCTAGGAAAGATTGAAGGAGTAAAGGAAGTAAGTGTTTTGAGTATTTTTATGAAGTGATGTGATTCAAAGTCCAAACTGAAAAGAGTTTGAAAGGTCCCAAAGTTGATGTGTTGATAAGATGAAAAACAAAGTGGGTTTTTGAATGGGGAAAAACTGTGCAAATTCTGGCTAGGAGAAAGATGTTTAGCTCAGTCAAAAGAAGTTGTGTAAGATAGTCAAGAAAGCCATGGAGATCAGTGTTGTATAGAGCTTTAGGAAAAGAGTGAAGTGTTTCATTTGGTCCCAACTTTTTTGTTTAGTTTAAGATGAAAAGCCAACTCAAAGTGGGGTGTTTGGTGGGCCAATTTTCCAACCCACATTTGATCAGCTGATTGTACTTTCAAGTGTTGGGATGTGGAAGGGAAAAGGGAGAAGACTGAGAGTGATTTTGAAGCCTTTGGTGGTGATAAAAGCAGGGCAATAAAGCAGAACATTGCCGTAAAAAATTCCAATTTTGGCAAAGTAGATAATCATGTCTTCAACTAAAAAAATGTCTAAAGCAGATTTATTATTATTATTATTATTGAGAATCATGATATGGCCCATTGTAAAATCTCCTGAGGCATGCACCTTGCACATGATGTTTTTACTCCTACGTTCTATTCAATACTGTTATTTTATTAGAAATAATAATGATGTTTATATACTTATCATATTCATGTTATGTCTTACCTGATTTAGGTCGGAAGAAAAATCTGAACCAAGAAAACTCAAATCAACTGAACTATTGGCTTCGTCCGAGGCGAATGGAGGTTGGAATTCATCAGCCATGCCGGTTTCATTGGGAGTTCCTTGAGTGACATCCGAGGAAGAAGTAATGAAATTCTCATCTTCAACATCACCTTCAGCTTCTCTCTCTCTTGAAATTTCTTCACCAAATGACTGATTATTCACAATAGTTGTTTTTGTTTTAGGGATTTGTATGTTTTTCTTGAAGATACGGCATAAAGAATACGAGTCCTGCTTAATTTGCAAGATTGGTTATTAACATCAATCTTTTATTTTATTTCTATCAATGAATCAAAAATAAATATTCAGAAAATTAAACAGTAAAATGCAAAGTGTTTAAAAGAATATTAGAAAGAGGTAAAAAGAAAAAGGAAGGAAGATCACCAGCTATACACCTATAAAGCATGGAAGATTAAAACCAAAGAGTCTTTCACAAAATCCTTTTTTAATGCATATGATCTACTTTTTAAAAAGGAAATATAATTGGAACCATAAGTATGGAGTAGCACCATATAATGTAAGTAATGAATGTGGACATCAGATGTTTTCTTACTATTCACCATACATACATCAACCCATTTAGATGAGATTATTGTCGATGTTTAATTCTTTGATTTGTCAAATAACTCAATAAATTAAATTTCAGAAATGATTTTCCACGTGGCATTTAAGTTTGTTTAACCAGTTGCCAGTGTTTAGTAACAAAACTTATAGAAACATCCATAATAATTTAGTATGAAAGAAAACCATGCATCATATTATTGTTTTCTCTAAACCCTAGTTATCTCAGAAGTAGATCTAATTTTATAACCAATGAACTAAAACCCTAATGAACAATACTAAGACTAATATTATGCAAAGAGATTCATTGTCTGGATGCCTACATGAAACCGGTATATTTAGTATAAAATCACACGATACATACATACATACATATATACATACATACATACATACATACATATATATAGATAGATAGATATAGAGAGAGAGAGAGATCGCAATGGGCGGTGTACCTTCAAACTGGAAGAAGCAGTGGGAGAAGCGGAGTGGAGTAAGCGATACTCATGCATGACCCAATTAGTTCTGACGCCGTGAGGAGCCCTACCTCTGTAGTAAACCAAAGTCTTCTTCATACCAACCACCGCCCTCTTCCCCGACGTTTGCACCGTCCTATCCTTCCCCGTGGCCTTCCAGTATCCGCCGCGGGTTGCTCTGTTGGTTCTCGATCCGTTCGGGTATTTCTTGTCCCTTGGGCTGTAGAAGTACCACTCCATATCTTTGCTCGGTAAAAACGACTTATCTGTTTGTTTAAATTCCGCAGTGAAAGCCAAACGTTCACCAACCCAGTACTACAATAGTAACAAAGCAGCTAATCATCAATCAATGAGTATATAATTGATACCTGGTAAATCCCAAGGCTCACATTTGTAGAGATCGACCTCTGGGATAATCTCGAGCTCGATAGTACGACCGCTGATTTTCCTATCGAGATAGTAAGCGACAAGCTCTTCGTCAGTTGGGTGAAACCTGAAACCGGGAGGGAGAGTCATGGGAGCCATGGCGGTTCTGCTCCTCGAGAGAGAGAGGGAGGGAAATTGAAGAAAGCGAAAAAAGAAGGGGAAAAAAAGGAAAGATTTTCTTGGAATCAGATAGAACAGATCATGAACTATTCAACTCAACTTGCTTCGATATTATACTTTATATACAGAGGCTACTGCCAAAAAACAATAGTACAATTAATGAGGCTGAACAATTTGACCTTAAACTTTCCTTTTAATTACATGATTTGCCATTACAGCTGCCAGTTTTAGTGATTAAAAAAATTAAAAAAATTAATCCGTAATTAAATATGGCTAGATCCACATTGTAATGATGGGGAGTGATCAGGTGGTCGTCTATTTCATCCATTTATCATGAAATCGGAGAACTAATCCATAATTAAATATGGCTAGATCCACATTCTAACAATTATTGTTATTGATGATGAATAATTTAATTAAATAAAAAATATTTTTTGTCAAATTAATTATTTTAACCATGATTAAAAAATGTGTATAGTTTGATTAAAATAGCACGGTAGTGTATAAATTATAATGGGGGATGAAACAAAGATAACAGATGAGAGAAATAAGGAATTAGGGTTTGGTGGATTTGATGCAGAAGGGAAAAAGGCAATCGGGGGGGGGGATAAGCTTCTGCTTTTGTCTGCTCACAAACTAACAAACAACAGGGTTCCTCCCTAAAAAGGTCATGTGGGACACTAAGCCCTTCCACATGTTCCTACACGCAATACGAAACCTACGCCCTCTACATGTACCTACCCCTATTGCTATTATTTTACTTTCTTTTAATGTGTATTTTAAGAATAGCTTTTTTCAAAAGAGATAACATAATTATTATATTCTTAATTTATTGGTATTTTTTTATTTTGTAATATCATATGATAATCTAAATTCTAACGGGTATTGTACAATTCCTTCCTTGTACTCTTGGCACATCATTAATTATTCTAAAGAATATGATTACCGTATATAGTAATAACATACATGCAGTGATACAGAAGATATTAATTAGTTTATGCACCTTCTTATACGTAATTATTAAAGCAATTGACAACACATTAAAACCTTAAACCCCGACATCAACAATAATACGCTTTGTTAAAGGCTTATTAAATTTGGTTTCATCGACAGGTGATGTTATTTATATTAAACGATAACACAAAACGAGACCCACTCTTCATGTTTTATTGATGTATGATTTAGCAAATCTTTGTTGGAAAAGGCATGCAATCTTAATAGTTAAAAAAATAACAAGAGATCGTTAATTTTATATGATCATTTTGTTAATATATGCCAAGGATAATCATGCATTACATAATATATATGTCATTGTATAATTCAGCAGATCAATTTTCAATTGTCTATATCCCCCATTACACTTTAAAATGTTTCTCTGAAAATATATAAAATAAGTTTCCATTTATACAAGCAAAATATTAATTATAAATTTGAAAATTAAACTAATAATATCTAAAAAATTTAAGCATGTGGACATTTCAGTTATTGACAGTTACTGCTTTAATGGAAAAAAAAGAAAAGAATCGAAGTGATGAGCAGCTGAAATTAATCTGACTCAAATCACAAGATTACGGCTGTAATTAATATAAAATCAAGCTTTATGTCGGGGGTATTGATAAAGCCAACTTGTATTCTACAAGAATAGCAAGTATATCATATAACAATGAAGGGTAAAGAATAACAATATTAAAGCTTACTTTCAGACACAGTTAATTAAATAAATTAAAACATAAAATGTTATCCATTTATATTACAATAATATTTGGGGGAATAAACAATGCATGGGATTACACTTTAAGAATTTAGGGCATATAATGGTTTGCTTTTCCTCGACGCTGGCGTATACCATGTGCCCCCTCCTATATGCTTCTACGTACGTTCTAAGACTTAATAAGGCGCTTTTTTTATTTTTTTATTGCAAATAAACTATATGGATTATTTTATTTCTTAATAAATCTGTTGGTCCATAGGTATTAAACACTATGTTTATAATATTTTTTTCAATATTCTAATATAATTAAATAGTAGTATTTGTTATTGATTTTAGTTTAGATAAATTTACGTGTATCTATGGATAATATTATTCAAGCTCGAATCACTTTAAAAAACATATCATTCTTTATGAATAGCCAATCGTTGGATTCAAGTATAATAATTAATAAAGAATGAAAATAAGAATGATATAAAGATGAATGGTTGTTTTTGCCAAAGCAGTCCAAAGGATGAACAACGTCCAAATTTCCGTCTTGGAGATGTTGCATTGACAAAAGAATAAAATCTTAACTCTAAAAAACCTACAATGTCAAAGATTTCCCAAGCAAAAGGAACCCCAAATGGTAAAATTAAACTTTACCCGATGTTTGAACTTGTAGGCAAACAATTTCCCCTTTATGAAATTTTGATTATAATTACAAGTGAAATCAGAATAGTTACGATACAAAATCGGATTGATAGTTAAAATCTATATGTAATTTATTTTTATAAAATAAATGGAAGCTTGATATGGTCCTCCTTATTTTATATCAAATTTAAAAGGTTAAAGGGGGAAAGAACAATTTTGCCATTCAAAGTGGTAGTGATTAGGGGTGAGTTAAAGGAAGGACCCACCAGCCATCTGAACAATAATAATAATAATAATAAAATCTACCTGGAGCACCGTCACGCTCTCCTTTTTTCTTTTATGCATATGTTATGGTGTATGCCATTCTCGTTCACATTGCAATGACCTATACAACTTTAGCTTTACTGTGTTTCAGTGCACTTTACTTCTTTACTTAAAATATGATTTTCATTTGGGTAAAGATATACTAACCCTTTTAATCATTACTGCTTTCCCTCATACTCCTCCCCTCTGTTAGCCACTCTTGATCCCCGTTCTGGGTTTGAACGGGGTCTCCGTTGAAGCACCATTGGAGTATCTTGGATTTAAACTGGTCTCTTGGTGACAGTTCTTTAGTGTTTTTAACCTGGGGAGGGTGTTTATTTAATATTTAATTAAGGTTTTACGACCTAGGATTATTTTAACCCAAAAAAGAAAGAAAACAAATTCGTAATGCTCAATCCCACATTGAGTAAGAAATACATTGGGATTGAGTATTTAAGGTTTACATTCTCTATTTCTTTGTTGAGCGATGGAGAACAAGGGGTTTTTTTGTGCATTGTCGCCGCCTTCCGTTTTATAGCCGTGGTCGTGGCAATATATGTCTTTGACACATCCGTGCGGTTGCTATTTTTTTAGAGAAAATTAGTAAGAAAATTTTCTCTGAAAAAACAAATAAAAATGTGAAAGAATTTTCAGTTTGATATTTAAAGGTTGCAATGGTATGTATGATTTAAATTTTCAGAGTGTAACAACTGATTAATTAGCTATTACAATGTTTTAATATATGAAAATTAAATATGTCAGTTTCGGAAATTAAATTTCAAACAGTAATTACAAGAGTTATAGAGTTAATTACCTAGAGTTACAAAATGATGAGACTTATTACATGAACCTGGATAGATTTGAGGTCAGATTCATCTATGAGGTTGTAACGGTTTCAGACATAATTTTAATGTAGAAATTAAGGCAGAATTATATCTGATTTACGTTGAACAATTTTCCCCCTAACGTGAAGCCTAGAAATAGAGATACTATTCCAACTTCTTAATTCACGAATTCACCCAAAAAAAATCTCTCAATACTCTCAATTTTTCTCCTTAGTTTGATCATATGCATCGTGATAAACCTATTTATACATTGAGTCATACACGACTTGTTATTGTTAGTAAAAAAATACCAAACACAAGAGAATTTTAGGAAGAAAATTGATGGTAGGATTGATTATTTTGCAATTTGTGTTCATCTTAACTGATTCCCTTTATTGAGAGTTGGTTCATGTTCAATACATCAATTGTTGATGAGAGAAATGAGGTTGTGATATTTCCGATAATTCACTCTTTCTGATTTTGACTGAGTGTCGCAAACAGTTGTTAAATGGAGGAAAAAGGAGAGAATTGAAGTGCTGAAGAAGACGATGAATAGTTGATAGAAACAAAGAGAAGAGAGAGAGAATCCTTTATTCTCCAACCTTACACGATGATTTATATACAGACTTCAATGTTAGTGTCAGACCTATTATGATGATAGTTTTGCATGTTGACATAATAAATAGATATGATTGTTAAATAATAGATTTAGTTTGATAGATCACGTGGGTTATTAGCAATCATGTCAAAAAATGATCTGACTGGAAAAAGTCCAAATACTTCAAAAATCTCTAAAAGTTTTAAGATTCGATAAATAGAGGAATAATATTGATGGAAACTTAGCTTGTAGCAGAGGTCTAAAGGAAATACAACAAACATGAAAATAAATTTATTTAAAATATGATTTGTCTCAAGTTCTAAAGTTTAAAGGTAGGGTCCAATTTATTTTATAAATTTGTAATAAATTATATTATACTTTTATAATATAAATATATAAATTAAATCCACAATAATAGATAAAAGTAGAATCTGAGCTTTGTTTGGTGCATGAGCTTGTTAAGCAGGTGTAAGAGGTGGTTCGGGGGCGTGTGTTGGACAAAAATGTTAATGGATTCAGTTCTATTAGTAGTAGGATGTGTTTAGAATGGAATTTAACTGTGTTTCTTGGCGTCAGTGAGTTGTATTGAGATTTGAGATTGTTGTGTTATTGTAGCAGTTTTATTCTCCAACCTTGCATAGTCATTTCGGATCTAGATTATATTTAGTTTAATTTCGTTTGAATTGGATCGGGTTTGGTTTGAATTATGTCCGAGTGTATAGTAAATTGGGTCGGTTTGGATATTGGATCAAGTCAATTGTTTTTCGATTCGGGTCAACATCTAGGACCGGCTGATCTTCGGGTCGGGTTAATATTGAATCAATTGATTTTTGGATCATGTCAATATCAAATCGATCGATTTTCGATTCAGGTCAATGTCAAATCTATTGATTTTCGCTTCAGATCAATCTTGAATCAGATCAGTTCAGGTTGAATCACATAAGAGTCTAATTAAATATATATAGAATTATTGATATATTTTTGTAAAAGTATATCTATTTGTT